GTCACTGACTATTACTCACTTCATGCACAGACGGCAAAGCATATAGCTGTGTTACCTCCTTATCTCCAAGTAATAAATGCACATGGCATTTTACAAAAACAGAAAACTGATGACCAGAGATTAAAGTGCAAAGAAATGAAAAGTGGTACCACGAAGTTAAATAAAAATCAAACATAAATGGTGGTAAAGAAGAAACAGCTGGCCATGGAAATGCTCACATTGCTGTCGTTAATCTAGATAAGTAGCCAGAGAAAGTGAGAGCAAACTTAATATAAATGAGGAAAGTACCAGTGATGAAAATGATAACAATGTCTCAGAGTAAGTTATGCCAGCAAGTCTTCACATTAAAGGAACTCACAACATCGAAAGCACAAAAAACATTAGAAGTTGATCCAAACTGAGAAAGCAGTATGACAACCTGCCATGGCATAAAAAGATGCTTCCTCTATAATACATAATGAGAACACAAGCAAGTGTTCAAACTACTGTTGATAAGGTTTCGTCCAAAAAAATAAGGTATTAATGTTTCTATTTTAAATTACAGTGCACTAAATAAAAACCAGCTTTGCAGTATTTCACCTATATATTTACAGCCAAAGCATTTTTTAGGTTTTGACAAAATTAGGGTCAGCTAGGCATGGTGGCTCATGCCTGTGAAACCTTTCTCTACAAAAATAATTTTTGAAAAATGGTAAGAACAATGCGGGCTGGGCTCAGAGGCTCATGCCTGTAATCCCAACACTTTGAACCCAAGTCGAGAGGACTGTTTGAGGCTAGTAGTTCAAGACCAGTCCTGGCAACACAGCAAGACCCTGTCTCTACCAAAAAAAAAAAAAAAAAATTAGCCACATAAAAAAAAAAATTAGTCCCAGCTACACAGGAGGCTGACTGAGGTGAGAGGATGACTTGAGCCGAGACAGCACCATTGCACTCCAGCCTGGGCAACAGAGCAAGACCTTGTCTCAGAAAAAGAAAAGAACACATATGGTATGGTTTGACTCTGGATCCCCATCCAAATCTCATCTTGAATTGTAGCTCCCATAATTCCCACATATTGCAGAAGGGACCTGATGAGAGGGGGCAGGTCTTTTCCATTCTGTTCTGGTGCTAGTAAGTCTCACAAGATCTGATGGTCTTATAAAGGGGAGTTCCCATGCACATGCTCCAGTAGGCAGCCATGTAAGACATGACTTTGCGCCTCCTTGGCCTTCCACCATAACTGTGAGGCACCCCCGGCCATGTGGAACTGTGAATCCATTAAATCTCTTCCCTTTATAAATTACCCAGTCTCAGTTATGTCTATATCAGCAGCATGAGAAGACTAATACAGTAAATTGGTACCCAAAGTAGGGTGCTACTGTCAAGATACCTGAAAATGCGGGAATGACTTTGGAACTGGGTAACAAGCAGATGGTGAAAGAGTTTGGAGGGCTCAGAAGACAAGAAGATGTGGGAAACTTTGGAACCTTCTAGAGATTTGTTGAATGACTTTGACCAAAATTCTGACAGTGATACGGACAATAAAATCCAGGCTGAAGTGGTCTCAGATGGAGATGAGGAACTTACTGGGAACTGGAATAAAGGTCACTCTTGCTATACAAAGAGACTGGCAGCATTTTTCCCCTCCCTTAGAGATCTGTGGAACTCTGAACTTGAAAGAGATGATTTAGAGTATCTGGCAGAATAAATTTCTAAGTGGCAAAGCATCCTAGAGGTGATACAGCATAAAAATTTGGGAAATTTGCAGGCTGATAATGTGGCAGAAAAGAAAACTCCACTTTCTGGAGAGAAATTCAAGCTGGCTGCAGAAATTTACATAAGTAAACTGGTTTTGAAATGTGAGGACATGAGATTTGGGAGGGGCCACAGTGGAATGATATGGTTAGGCTCTGTGTCTCCATCCAAATCTCGTCTTGAATTGTCTCTCTCCTAACTCCCATGTGTTGTGGGAGGGACCTGGTGGAAGGTAACTGAATCATGGGGAAGGGTCTTTCCTATGCTGTTCTGGTGATACTGAATAAGTTTCACAAGATCTGAATGGTCTTATAAAGGGGAGTTCCCCTGTACATGCTCTCTTGTCTGCCACCATGTAAGATGTGACTTTGTTCCTCACTTGCCTCTCGCACAATTGTGAGGCCTCCCCAGCCATGTGGAACTCTGAGTAAATTAAAACTTTTTCCTTTATAAATTACCCAGTCTTGGGTATGTCTTTTTTAGCAGTGTGAGAAAAGACTAACACAATGTAATCCTACCACCAAAAATACTTAGTGTTATTTTGGGATATTTCAGTCTGGCTTTTTTCCCCCCATGAATGCAATAGGTTTTAACACAGCTTTAATTAGACACAAGCAAATACACATACATGCAATGTTTTCTCTTACTCTGATCTCATAAGCATTTTCCATGTAATTACAATACATTCTCTTCACAGGCAATATTTTTAATGGCTCCAGGCTAGTCCAAGAAATGGGTTTCCCATTGCTTGCCTAATTCTTCCCCTTTTGTCCCATGTTTTAGTAGTTTTGTACTGGCTTCACTAAATTAAATGTTATTAATATAAGTATCTTTAGGTTGCTCATACTTAGTTCCAGTTGCTTTCCTAAAAGTATGCATTGATCAATGTATTCTTTGAGGGTTGTTTCCAGATAGCCCACTCTGTGCTCCAAATGCAAACCAACATCCCAGAGGTTCTCCCCTTATTCAGTCCTCTTCATGAATTTTGGAAGGGAACATTTCAATCTCTGCTATTTGCCAGGCTCTGTTCTGCATGTTTAATGTTATATCAATTATTCAAATCTATGTTTCAAAACTTCAGCAATCATCTAGGCTTTTCATTCATTCAAAGTAGTACTGAGTGCTTACATAGTGACAGGTACTGGTAACATAGTAGTAAGCAAAACCAAACTCCCTCAGGAGTACTCACCCTGTCTCAAAGGCACTCCAAGATGTTAAAAAGTAGCCACTCCATTTCTGTACTACTTTGATAATAAAACATTTCAACGGCTCCCATTACACTTCCAATGAAATCCAAATTCTTTTCCCTAGCCCACAAAGCTCCACCTCAGCTGGCTTTGCCTATCCCTCCAATACCATCCCCTGACATGCTATCCTTAACTATTAGGCCTCACCATTTGAATACTCTAAGCTCTTTACACGTGAGCTATTCAACATGACTGAACCTCCCACTCTGATCATCAAAAATTCAAGCCCCTTCCCATCTTTTAGGTCTTAGCTGAAATGTCACCTCTTTATGGCTTTCCTTGGTCACTCCATCTAGGAGGTTCACCGATATTTCCCTACTCTGCCATATCTTCAGTTTGTTTCTTTCATAGCACTTAGCATTCACTGCAACTGTCTGTTGGCCTTTCTTCTCTAATTGAGATGGGGTTTTGCTTATTTGCCACTGTATCTACAAATCCTACCACAGTACCCAGTGGGCAGAATCCATGGCAGATAAACTGTGTGCTGCATAAATGAAACGTTTTTCCTTTACTTGGAATGAAATCTAGTTTCTTGAAACTTCCACCTATTGATACTAATTTTACTCTCTATAAATACATTGGGGAAAAAGTATACTGCACTTGTATCATACTTTAATTAAGTATATATTTGTTAACTGCAGCACTCACCTGGTTTTTAGCAACTGCAACCTTTGCTGACTTCAGAGAGACTACCAAGAACCAGGTGAGGGCATGGACTTCCAGGTGGCATCAACTGGGCTGGAACATGAGCTCCAAAACTTACGCGAAATGGATCTCACTTGTGTGACTTTGAACTATTTCTCTAACCTCTTAATATCGCTGTTCCCTCATTTGGAAAGCTAGGATAAGGCTTCAATTGCTTTGAGAATCAAATGGCATAATGTAGTTAAAGAGCTTACCCCAGTTTCTGGCACAGGAACGTTAGTAGACAACTACTGCTGTCTCACCAGCTAAACAGGAAAGCTCCTTGAAAGTGGTAACATTATTTCTTTACATTTCTAAGAGGTAGCTTATACAAGATTCAACAAATCTAGATTTAAAACCATCATCCTGCAAGTCTGGCTAAGACATCCCTTTCTTCCATATATTCCCATAACACCCTGAACCTAGCCCACCTGTTATCTATCCCAACAGTCATTTTACTATTTTGTCTCCAACACCTGACCCTTAGGAGCAGCTCTATCTTGTTCACCAGGTTATTCTCAACACCTGCAACACCAAAATTGGGTAACTAAGTAAATAAAGCACTGCGGCCTTCCATTTACCCCATGAAAATAATTTTTCAAATTATTTATTGTCTGTCTCTGCCCACTTCCACACAATGAAAACGCAGGTAGCCAATCTGTGTCTTGCTAAATGCTGTATCTAGTAACCCCTACCGGAGGCTCCAAAATATTTGGTAAAAGATGTTTTATGTTGATTCTCGCAGTTTTCTGCTACAGAATTAAATGCTAAGCCTGTCTACTGACTCCACAGCGTTACTGATGGGCTGCGTGCGCTCATTAATATATCTTCAAAGCCTAGGCTTGAAGTAGAAAAAGCAATTAGGTATTGAATGAACAGATGGACTTGTCATTTTCTAAGACTGAAAAGAGATGCAGCAAAATGACAAACGTAGTATTGAATAGAAACGCTGTGAGAGACTTGATTAAGGTTTTTTGGGTTGTGTTACATACATACATTAACTCCCAACATCTCTACAGTAGTTATACTATCAAAAAGTAGTTAACAGTGAATAATGTTAGCTCTTTTTTCTTTTAAGTAACTGAGAGTGCAAAAGACAACGAGTCAAGTACCCTCTCGTTCCCCTGCCTGTCTCCTACGACCTGGCAATACAGCGTCGCCTTGACACCTGGCCCGCCGGTGGCCTGGGAGCCCCGCGCTACCTCTCAGACCTGGCTGCCAGTAACCCGAGGACAGTCCAACGCGCAAAACCGGAAGACAGAGCAGAGCAACCCCACGGGCTCCAGTGCCGAATGCCGGCACTCCAAGCAACCCACCCCACCGCCCCGCACTCACCACCAGCGAGGCCATGAATCCCGGCCGGTCCATGGTACCGCGGACCTCGTCAAGGCTACCACCCAAGTCAGACCAGAGACGGACCTCGACCCCGTGCGCTGGGCGTCGCCATCTTTGAGGCGGGCCTGTCTTGCACTTCCGGGAACACGTGACGTAAACCACAACAACTGCACGTGCGACGCTGGGGAGGAGGAGCCAAGAGGAGGGCCAGAGAGGAGGGGCGGGGCCTCAGGAAGTGTGGTCGAGCGAAGTCTCGGCAATTTTCTTACCTTAGTTTCCTGCAGCCGCCTTGAGAGCAGCTAGACGGAGGAACTCTCGCGAGCAAATGATCCTCGGCGGGGATCCAGGAGAGGACAGCCCTAGAATGAGGCCGAAGTCATCCTGCGCTGTAAACCCGAAAGAGGCGTGGCTGTGGCGGAGGAGGAGTCGCGAGGGGCAGGGCGAACCTCGGGACGAGATTCGGAGTCCTAATCGGGTGTTTCATTTTGGTTTATCTCTTAGTTTTGTAAACAAATTTTATCTGAATTTATATTAAATTATCTGAAGGTTATTACAAAGACATAGAAAAATACTTCAAAAATTTCCTTACCGTAGCTCAAAATTAGCATCTTCCATTTTTCCTTACTCGCAGTTATTGCACTTAAAATTATTTGTTTGTTCACTTGCTTACCTGCTCATGTTCGCTGTTGTACCCATGTGTACCCTTCAAAGCACACGTTAGTAAGTACTTAATAAAATTTATTGGAGCGAACCTCTTTATATTTATTAAACAAATACCTGTAAACTTCTGTGTATATTAAGGGCCAGCTACATCGCAGACGTGGTGCCAAGTGATTGACAGATATTTTTTTCATTTAATCCTTTCACCAACCCTGTGATGTCAGCACCACTACTGTCCTCATTTTACAGAGGCTCTGAAGGCTCCAACAAGTAGCAAACCCAATATTGGCTACAGAGAACATAGCAGAGCATGCCCTGAAAATATACTTACTGCCCTCATCATCTTTCCTCAAAACCCTTATAATAGCCTGAGCAGGCTCCTTGCCTGGCCTTTCTTCAATCCCTATTCTGTAACACTGCTAGAACTATTCTTATAATTATTCTTACTCTCTTCTAGGTAAAATGATCCAGAAAATATTTGCAGAATAGCTTTGGGTGTTAGATGAAATTCAAATTCTGAGGTATCACCTGCGGGGTTTGGGCATAAGTTTCCCAAGATTGAGTTTTCTCCTCCGTAAAGTGCCAATAATGATAGTAACTTTTTCATGCAATACTGTTATATTAATAGATTAGACGAGATAATGAACTCAAGTTATTAGCCTAGTTCCTGGCTCATAGAAAGTACTCTCTAAAGATGATGGTAATGTCATTTCCCTGCTTACAGCTCCCCTCTGCTGCCAGTAGAGACAGTCCAGCTCCCTATTATGGTCTATACCTCTCAGCTGGTGTCTCCTGTCACTCTTCCCACTAGCCGGACTACACACAGACAGACTATACACTTTAGAGCCTCCTCATTTTGCCCATGTTGTTCTCTCTACCCAGAATACCTTTGCCTATGCTGCCTGTAGGGCCTCTGAAAACATGCTAGTTCACTTTGTCAAGGCCCGCAGAAGAATCTCTGTTGCTGCTGTTTCTGTCTTTAAAAGGCTCGTGTGTTTTAGTCAGGCCTACCCAGGATAATTTCCATTTTTGTTAACTCAAAGTCAACTAATTAGACACATTAATTATATCTGCAAAATCTCTTTTGCTATATACTATAACATAATTCTGGTGGTAATGTACTGTCATACTCACAGGTCCTGCTGACATTCAATGGGGTGATTATGCAAAACACATTCTCAGCCAGGACTCTTGAGGGCCACGTTAGAATCCTGCCGACTTCACATTCCTATATATCCTATATATCAATAAGCTTTCACTTAGCTGGGCATGGTGGTGCGTGCCTGTAATCCCAGCTACTCAGGAGGCTGAGGCAGAAGAATTGCCTGAACCCAGGAAGCAGAGGTTATGGTGAGCCGAGATCGCGCCATTGCACTCCAGCCTGGGTAACAAGAGTGAAACTCCATCTCATAAAATAAATAAATAAATAAATAAGCTTTCACTGACATTCCCCTCAGTCTTCCCACCTTTCACCTACTGCCTGGTGCCAATGGCACTCCCACAGTTTAGGAATTACAGTAGTAGCCACCTCCAAGTACCAAAATCTATATTATTTGTCTATTTCTGCATAACAAATTGCCTCCAGAATTTAACAGACTAAAGCAACAATAAACTTGTATTACCTCACACAGTTTTCATACGTCAAGAATCGATGAGTCATTTAGCTGGGTGGTCCAGACTCAGAAATTTTCATGACACTACAGTCAAGATGGTGGCCAGGACTATATCATAAGATTTGATCGGGACTGGAGGATCCAATGCCAAGATGGCTCGCTCCCATAACTGGCGAATTAGTGCTAGCTATTGGCAGGTGGCCTGAATTCCTCATGGCATAGATCTCTCCATAGTGCTGCTTGAGTGTTTTCATGATATAATAGCTGGTTTTTCCTAGAGTAAGTGTTCTGAAAGAGAACAAGACAGAAACTACAAAGTCTTTTATGACCTGTCCTCATAAGTTACTCAGTTGTTATTCCAGCAATTGCCTATTGGTTTCACAGGTCATCCACATTTATTATGCGGCTGGACTACACAAAAGCATACATACTGGAAGATGAAGATCACTGGGTGCCATCTTGGAAACTGGCTACCACATTAGGGAAATGCTGGTGAACACCTCAATGAGTTATGAATACACACTCTTTAGAGTGGCTAAAATTGAAAAGATCAAGTATTGACAAAGATGAGGAGCAACAGGAAATCTCATACATTGCTGTTTGGAATTTAACATGGTACAATCATTATAAAATCCAATGCCCCACTTACTTATTTACCCAAGAGAACTAAACGTTTATACAAATACTTTTACATCATATTTCAAAGCAGCTTTATCCATAATAGTCAAAAAATGAACACCTGAATATCTATCAGCAAGTGAGTATATGTATAAACATATTACGGTACATCCTTACAATGAAACATCACTCAACAATGAAAGGATATGAATTACTGATACACGAAACAACATGGATTAATCTGAAAGCATTATGCTATGTAAAAAAAAAAAGACTACTTATATTACAAGTCCACTTATGTGAAATTGCAGAAAAGAAAATTATAGTGACAGAAAGTAGATCAGTATTTTCCAGGGTGTGAAGGTGGAGGCAAAGGATTGACTACGAAGTGGACACAAAAGAATATTTTCAATTATGGAGATATTCTCTATTATTATTGTGATAGTAGTTGCATGGGTATATACATTTACTAAAATGCATTGACTTGCACAATTAGAATGGTTATACTTAGTATATGTAAACTGTAAGGTGGCTCATGCCTGTAATCCCAACATTTTGGAAGGCCAAGGATAGATCACCTGAGAGTTCGAGACCAGACTGATCAAAATGGTGAAACCCTGTCTCTACTAAAAATACAAAAAATTAGCCACGTGGGGTAATGCACACCTGTAGTCCCAACTACAGAAGGATGAGGCAGAAGACTCACTTGAACCCAGGAGGTGGAGGTTGCAGTGAGCTGAGATTGCGTCACTGCACTCCAGCCTGGGTAACAGAGCGAGACACCATCTCAAAAACAAAAAAATGTATATGTAAACTATAGCTCAATAAAGTTGATTAAAACATTACCATATTACATGATGATGAGGATTAATAATACATGCACAGAAATTTTTAGTCCAGTGTTTGGCACATAGAAAATGTTGCGTTTATTCTGTATTTTTCTATTTAAGTTAGATATTCTGAATATTATGAATGAGAGACTGTTAAGTTATCAAGATGCATAAGTACTTTGTGATACATACTACTATAACTTCCTAAGTGAAAATAAATCTTATTTCTAGCTACTAATGTTCCTGGAGGTTTTTAATGTAATTCCTTCCCTAAGAGAAAATTTAACCCAGACTTACAACATTAATTTTGATTTAATACATCCTTTGAAGTCTAATCAAGAAAAAAACTCTTTTCCTCTTCAATGCAATGATTGCCTTTAACTTTGTAAGAAAAAATTGTGTTGATGTCATTTTCTGGTAACCTGGAGGGAAATGTAATTTATCAGGTACCTTTCAAAATTAAGGAGAAATACATATTCTCTCCTTTTATGCAAGGTAAAGGCTTTACCAGGTATTACATGAGACCACTGGAAGCCCTTTGGAAAGTACAGATATTACAAACATGACCTAGGGCCTCCTTTTCATGAAATGCTAGTGGAAAGACTCATTACTACTTGTGCATACTTTTTAAGTGGAATATTTCAATGCATCATCATTATCACCACATTGCAGGCAGCATATGTTCTCAAATCTTTCATTTTAAAAGATACAGGCAATGTGGTAAGCACTGATTTGCATTATACATGTGATATAATAATATGGTCTTTCTCACTTAAAGTGTCACTGTAAGTCAAGTTTTCTTTTAAACGAGCTCAAAAATCTTAACAGTATTTATAAAAATTAGCAAGAAATCAAAGATATAGCTCAGAAAAGAATTAAGGCCTAGCTTAGAAAACAACAACAACAAAAAACCAAGGATATAATCTTCAACTACGACTAGGCTTCAGTTCCAAGCCACTGTTACTGTTGTTGTTGTTCTTGCTGTTTGTCTTTTGTTTTGAGACAGGGTCTTGTTCTGTTGCCCAGGCTGGAATGCGGTGGTGCCACCTCAGCTCACTGCAGCCTCAATCTCCGGGTTCAAGCAATCTTCCTGCCTCAGCTCAACAAGTCGTTTGGACTACAGAAGCATGGCATGCCCAGCTGATTTTTGTATTTTTAGTAGAGATGGGGTTTCACCATGTTGTCCATGCTTGTCTTTAACTCCTGAGCTCAGGTGATCCACCCACCTCAGCCTAGAATTACAAGTGTGACCCACTGCACCCCGCCCCATGTTACTGATTTTTGTTGAAAAATATGATAATACTTGTCAAGATCTGAATGTGTTCCCAAAATTCATATGTTGAAATTTAATCGGCGAGATGCGCCCTTTAGGGCGCAATTAGGTCATGAGGTCTCCTCCCTTGTGAATATGATTAAAGTCTT